ACTGGGATGTTCTTATACCATACATCATGATGTCACTCCGGAGCATGCCATGCCAAAGTACTGGATTTTCACCTCACTATCTTCTCTTTGGTCGTGACATGCTTCTTCCTATTGACACCAGCCTGTTGCCAAAAGATAACCTTCCAAAGAACGCTGCTCATCACCTTCAACAAATCATGGATAAGCTGAAAGCTGCCAAAGAACTCTCTCAAGACAGTACAGAGGCTACACAGCAGCAATACAAAGCAAGACATGACCAGCAAGCAGCACAACCCTCATTTCAGGTTGGGGACACAGTTCTGCTGTACAACCCTAAGGTGCAGAAAGGTCACAGTCCAAAGCTGACACAAAAGTGGATTGGTCCATGGTACATCACTAAACTAGGACCCAATCATACTTATAAACTTCGTCATGGCCAGACCCTTAAGGACCACAAATCATTGGTCCATGCAAACCGAATCAAACATTTGCATCACCGTCAACCCACCCAAGACCCAGATCCAATCCTACAGCAACCAACTGCACCACTACCAAGGATCAACAATCCTCCACAGGTTCCAACCCAAACCACACAGCTCTACCGTCTTCTCAACCACAGCCATCCTCAAACCCACATCCAAACAAGGATGACACCCTCTATCCTGTAGAGAAAATCATGCGGTACCGCTGGCGAAATGGCATGAAAATGTACAGAGTCAAATGGAAAGACTCCTGCCCAACTACATGGGAACCTGCTGAAAACATTCCCAAGCACATGTTGGATAGATTCCATGCCACCACGACTGCCACAGGACGTAAGAAGAAGCCACGTTTCTTCAAGGCTGCCTCTTAAATATGTTCATACATACAGTATCAGATGTAGCAATATTCAATTCTCCACCTTGGTAACCTCTCTTCTCTTTCATGTCTTTCCTATCACCCTTCTAACACAATGATGAGAATAAGCCTCAACAATTTGCATAGTAAATATGTGTCTACAAAGTGCTAGGGATATGTAAGAGACGTCTTACACTTCTCACCCCAGACTTATTCCCATCTAACTGTGATTTCCTTATTTCTCAGGACTCTTGTTCCTCTTTGGATGCATCCTATTTGGACTTCTCTTGCATCCCGTTTCTGGAGAGAAAGCTACAGACGATATCATTCAGCGTATGAATTATGGCGTAGTCTACACCCCATCAGTCAAGGTACAGTTTGCAGATGAGTATTGGCTTCATACATATGAAATTGAATTACCCAAACCACTGCATCTGCCAATCACAACAGGATGCCATCGAAACAATGCGACATGTAACATTGTGAACCTTGTTCAGGCCAATCTGAACTCTATCAAGACTCGGACGGCAACGATGATGAACTTGACAATTCAGCAAATCAACAAGCTCGTTCCATTAGACACCCATCCATCTAAAGGACGATCCAAACGAGCTATTCTTGGATTCATCGGGAAGTTTTCCAAATCACTCTTCGGAACTGCCACAATGGACGACATCAATGTGATAGCCAGACACATTAATGCTCTCACACTTAGAGACCTGAAAGTAGCCAACACCCTCAAAAGATTCTCTACTCACTTTTCGTCATATATGACAGCAATGGATCACAGGTTTAACAATGCTCTCAGTGGAATCAAGTTGAACCATGAAGCTATTAGACAAGCAACTATGAGCATCACACATTCATTTAACACATTAAGGGAAGCGTTTAGTTCATTAACATCAGTTTTAACTCACAGGCTTCACTCATTGAACACAATTTACAAGAATTCAAACTCGGAATTCAATCTTTGGTAAGTGGTAAGTTATCGCCCCTTCTGATTAGTCCCGATTTGCTCACTACAACTTGTCACCACATTCAGAAGCTCCTACAAAAGGAATATGTTGGATTTTCTCTGTTGGAAAAGAACCCTAATTTCTATTATGAACATGGAAATTTTATGTTCGCTCGCACCAAATCCGACAAACTCTATCTTACTATCAAATTTCCTGTTGCTTCATCACATTATACTTTTAAACTTTTTCATATTAATTCATACCCTGTCCCAATCAATGCAACTTCCAAACAAGCCACACAGCTATTAGACTTTGCGCCACATGTAGCAATCTCTACAAGTGAAATATTTTACAATGTTATCAGAAACCCTTCTTACACAATGCTATGGTCACGAGACATTACACTGTCCATTCAAGCCAACCCTCTTTGCAATGTCTAAACCATTGTGTGAAATTGCCATTTTTAATAATGACAAAACTAACATCAAGAAACTCTGCAACTTTAGATTTCTTCCAGATAACCAAAAGTCTATGCTAATCCCACTAACACCTCACTCTATACTTGTTTATAACACACCATTTCTCACACTTCATTGCCCTGACGGCTCCAGTTATGTCAAAGGTTGTTCTATGTGTGTAGTTAATATACCATGCCTGTGTACTATCAAAACTGAAAATCTTCTTATTACATCACATCTTGGTAAATGTCAAAACAAAACGGACTCCAAAGTAACATATTCCCATACAGTTAATTTGGCATTAATTCAACATTTCTTTGACGATGATTCCGTAAATAACATTCTTGGTGACACGTTATTTGCCAAGCCTGTCAAAGTTCATATTCCTCAATTCAAAATCTACAGTCATCAGTTTAACGAAATTATTGCTAAAGATCAGCATGATCACTTAAGCTTAACACGAATGGTGAAAAGTGTCAAAAATGATGAAAACGTATATAAAACTTTAACTGATTCTCTTCTTGCGGGACAAATAAGTGTTCCACAATCAACTTTTGATTTCAACTTTTGGTTTACTCTTGGATCATATAGTATATCTATTGTATTGTCAACAGCATTTGTTTGGCTCTTCTTCAAGTATAGAACACTAGCTGCCACTCTTTGTTTGGTTTCACAACCTTCTTTGGTTAAATCAGAACAACCCTCATTTGAGTATCACAACCCAACTACCCCTACCCCCCACAATAAGTCTATCTATGGTAACATCAACATTCCTGGACAATCTTCCCATAATGCTTCACGTCATTATCATAATGTTGCTTATTGTAATCGTATACCATCTCAAGTCCAAGAAGGCACACTGTACCTTAATCTCACTTGAGTTTACAACAGGATTTCAATGTGAACTCCTCCCCATACTTAGTTTAAGTACATGTCCATCCAACTGGGATGCTACCTTGCTAACTACGACGTATGATATTTATGTAGATGGTTATATCTTTCCTACTGTTCATATTCAATGGCCAGGACTTACAATTAAAAATAAATATTCGTGCCAACCTATCAATATCCCAAACAAATTCCGCGTGAACTGCCTTAAAAGCCAGACGCATTCGTACAATTTTAAAACATCCTTATTCTGCTACTATTTTTATATCCCATCATGGTCTGTACAATATTCTTCACCCCTACAACAGTCATATATAGATGACAAATGACCACAGTTATTTTAAAGTTAGAAGGGCAAACAAGGGCACCAACCACTGATTAGTGTAAACATTCATTGTCACATGTTTTGCATTCTTTGAACCTCATTTGTTTTGCTTTTGAGGACAAAAGCTTGTTGTCACCCGAGGGTATTGTGACAGTGCACAATTTATCATTATATTCTTCATATTTGTATATTTTTCTGAATGTATGTATTTTATATATATTTGCCACAAATTTCACTTTCGTTTTGAAGAGTTGTAATATTGAAACGTCACTTCATGTCATGGCTCCAGCTGATGTAACGCACTTCGCAAAGATAATTAACATAAGCCATATACCATTGAAAGTGTCAACTTAAAACTTAATCCATTGTTCATTGCACCAGTAAATGTCTTAATGACCACCGTGCAGATGTCCAGGCGAACAACTGTAGAAACAAACTGCAATAAATCTGACCTAATTGACGCCAATTACTATTGTGACACGGTCATGTGGCGCCAGCTATAAAAAACTAATCCCGACAAGGGTTGTAAAACAAACCGTAATTAAACTGATGCAATTATCCTGTCACGGTCACGTGACTACCCTTCCAAAACTCGTTTCGGCTTGTCCAATCAGTAACTGTTTGATCTATGTCAACCAACCAAAATCGTAATTACCGTATTATATGTTTTGGCCAATCGCAAAGAATTCCAACATTGATCAGTGATGTTTTCGGCTATAAAAAGAGGTCAGTGATTTCCGATCGGCACACTTGACCTCACAATAAATGATGAAACATCTCCCTGACTGATCTTTGACTTACGGAATTCTACATTCTATTTTAAGGTAAATTCTTTGGTACAACTCTACGAATTCTGTCAGATAATGTCATGACTGGAATATATTTTTATGTATATGTTTATAGTGGCAATATCATGTGTATGTTTATTTTGCATGGACATTGACATGCATATATCTCAGTCGTTAATTGAATATGTAAGTGAACTAGATGTGCTGTCATGGATTAGTTGTGCCTGTATTGGACTCATGTATGGACACATTAGATGTACTTTACATCACTAATATGCTAATAGTGAACAAATTGGTTCAGTGGCATATATCATTTATATATGTTTTATATGACGACAGCTGAGGTATAATTGTGATTTGTGTTAAAATGATTTGTATGAATGATTTTGTATTATGATTATTATATGAAGTTAGGTTGAAAGAAGAAATATTATATCTGTTATACACACAAGCTCTACCGTTTGAGATGCTAATTCCCCATCAAAATGTGTGTATTAGATTATTGTTTGAATATCTTTTATGCATATGTATTTATGAATAACACACTTGACCTCACAATAAATGATGAAACATCTCCTTGACTGATCATTGACTTACGGAATTCTACATTCTATTTTAAGGATTTAAACTTGTTATCCCATAACGAGCCGGGTAACACTAACCTTAGTTTGTAAACTTCAAAAGGGTTTTAAGCCAAATCGGTGTCCGGACTTACATTACAACCAAAGTTCAAAGAATGTTGTTCAAATAATGTAACATCGACACCCACCTCATGGCTTGTCCCACTTCCTCTCAGGTCCTAGAAGAAATAATGACTTCTTATACAAAGAACGGAAAACATATGAAGGACATTTTCTTCATTATTTATAACTGATATCAGATGAAACAGGTAAATTGTCACAGATTAGGAGCTGGCTGGATAACAATCGAACCGTGAATATTCAAGGCAGTGGATAAGAGTCTGTGCATGAGATCGGGGCGTCGAGTAAGATGTTCTGAGTATTATCCAGGAATCAACAAGGCTGCAGCGACTCTCGACACCCGATGAATGTACATAGAGAATACTACACGAGGTCTCATTACAAACCAATTATGCGAAACGAGTGTCCATGAGTTTCATAAAATTCGTATGTAATGATACTTAGTGTGGTATTTTATTTATTACCCACGTCTTACCTGCACAAAAGTGACAAAATAGTGTATTTTTGTTACTTTTATGCTTTTGAAAGCCAAACCGGTTTCATAAAGGGAGTGCGGAAGAATTTTCTCATCCAGTCAAATCGTCAGAGAGGTCCATCGGTTATCCAATCAAATCGTTAGAATTTCAGTTCAAGTCGTTATGGCACAGGTCAACAGGATACTACACTTGTGTGACGTACGAGATAACTATGCAAGTACCCATACGTTGACTACGTGGGTAATAAAATTACATATTCCACTTGCTTTACATCAGGAGAATGGGAACCTTGGTACAGAATAGACTGAAATTGTAGAAATATTAACAGCTGACAGAAAATTAATGCCCATCCACATCAATGACAGCTGACTCCGTGTATTGAATGGACATAAGCTCTCTTACTGAAAACCATATGTCTGTAAGTCTAGAAATCTGGTGTTTCCATTCCGGGATTCGTCCCGATTGTTGTAGTTGGTCTTTCCATACTAAAAAAGGTTTACAACTAGCAGCTGGGAAGCCATAAAACAATGACACACTTTTGTAACGAAACTTTAAAGTAACATTCTAAAACGATATTATCAAGTTTGTGTATTTAAAGAACTACATTGTTAAAACTTACGGTTTGGTGTTCGTGAAGATCGGGGATAAAGCGGCCCAATCGGTCAGACCTCATCGGGGTTGTGGGGTCATCTGGTCGGCGACTGGACATGAACACGCCGGACCCTCCATACTGCGCACGGGACTGTGGAACAGTTCGATTTGAATTTAATTACATGATAATATATCCGAAGAGTAAATACGTACAATGTAATGTCTAACTTTACATTTCCCTTTGTACAAGTGGCGACTTTGATTCAGATATTTGAAATATCTAAAAGTTCAGTGAAACATGTAAAGTCAATTAGAGAATTACGTAAGGCTAACCTTAGTTTGTAAACTTCAAAAAGGGTTTTAAGCCAAATCGGTGTCCGGACTTACATTACAACCAAGGTTCAAAGAATGTTGTTCAAATAATGTAACATCGACACCCATCTCATGGCTTTTCCCACTTCCTCTCAGGTTCTAGAAGAAAAAATGACTTCTTATACAAAGGACGGAAAACGTATGAAGGGCATTTTCTTCATTATATATAACTGATATCAGATGAAACAGGTAAATTGTCACAGATTAGGAGCTGGCTGGATAACAATCGAACCGTGAATATTCAAGGCAGTGGATAAGAGTCTGTGCATGAGATCGGGGCGTCGAGTAAGATGTTCTGAGTATTATCCAGGCAGTAACAAGGCTGCAGCGACTCTCGACACCCGATGAATGTACATAGAGAATACTACACGAGGTCTCATTACAAACCAATTATGCGAAACGAGTGTCCATGAGTTTTGTATAATTCGTATGTAATGATACTTAGTGTGGTATTTTATTTATTACCCACGTCTTACCTCCACAAAAGTGACAAAATAGTGTATTTTGTTATTTTTTATGCTTTTGAAAGCCAAACCGGTTTCATAAAGGAGTGCGGAAGAATTTTCTCATCAGTCAAATCGTCAGAGAGGTCCATCGGTTATCCAATCAAATCGTTAGAATTTCAGTTCAAGTCGTTATGGCACAGGTCAACAGGATACCACACTCGTGTGACGTACGAGATAACTATGCAAGTACCCATACGTTGACTACGTGGGTAATAAAATTACATATTCCACTTACTTTACATCAGCAGAATGGGAACCTTGGTACAGAATAGATTGAAATTGTAGAAATA